TCCTCCTCCTTCAGGTTGTTCATCTGCAGCGTCACCGAGCTCTGCCCGTTGTCCCTGGTGAGGGTGAACCGGCCCTGCACCGACGGCGCGTACCAGGTACCAGCACCAGTGTTGATCCCAGCAACGTATTCCAGCCCCTTCCCGGGGCTCTGGCGCACCCAGTTCATGGCGTAGCTGCCGAAGGTGAAGCCGGAGGCGCGGCAGAGGAGCCGCAGGGACTCCCCTGGGGCCTTGAGGAGCCCCCGGACTCCACCAGGGTCACGGCCGCCAGCAGCCCTACAAGGGGGGAGAAAAAGGGAATATCGGGATGAGCCGGGGGATCCCAGGGATTTTTTGGGATTGGGGCAGAGAGTCGGAGGCACCGGGACCTACCTGGGAGGGCGGCGAGGAGGAGAAGGAGCAGGAGGAAGGTGGAGGCCATGTCAGAGCCACGGTGCCTCCGGCTTCACCTTGGGCAGCTACACCATGAACTGGGTGCGCCAGAGCCCCGGGAAGGGGCTGGAATGGGTCGCTGGGATCAGCAGCAGTGGTTCCAGCACCTACTACGCGCCGTCGGTGCAGGGCCGGTTCAGCATCCCCAGGGACAACGGGCAGAGCTCGGTGACGCTGCAGATGAACAACCTCAGGGACCAGGATTCCGACACCTATTTCTGCGCCAAAAGTGCTTATGCTGATGCTGGTTATGCTGGTGGTATTGACTCCATTTGTGGGGTCCCCACATGTCCCCAAACCCCAGACCCTCCCCCCAAACCTCCACCCTTCACACCCAGCTCTCGGTCATTGGTCCCGACCTTGGGCTGGTTTTGCCCCAATTCTCAGCCTTTGGCCCCAAATCTCAACTGTTGACCCCCAATCTCTGCCCTCTGCCCCAAATCTCGACCCTTTCCCAAAAGCCTTGGGCAATGCTGGGTTTGGGTCAATGCTTTTGGTCAAGGGTTGAGGTTTGGGGTCAATGGGTGAGAACTTGGTGAAAACCAGCCCAAGGATGGGACCAACGACTGAGAGCTGGGTTGGCACATCCTGGTGACTCCGACATGGCCTCCACCTTCCTCCCGCTCCTCCTCCTCCTCGCCGCCCTCCCAGGTAGGTCCCGGCACCTCCGACCCTTCACCCCAATCCCCAAAAATCCTCAGAATCAACCAGCTCATCCCGATATTCCCTTTTCTCCCCCTCCAGGGCTGCGGGCGGCCGTGACCCTGGTGGAGTCCGGGGGCACCTCAAGGCCCCGGGGGAGTCCCTGCGGCTCCTCTGCCGTGCCTCCGGCTTCACCTTCGGGGACTATTCCATGCAGTGGCTGCGCCAGAGCCCTGGGAAGGGGCTGGAATGGGTCGCTGGGATCAAGAGTGATAGTGGTGCCATCTACTACACGCCGGCAGTGAGGGGCCGATTCACCATCTCCCGGGACAACGGGCAGAGCTCAGTGACGCTGCAGATGAACAACCTCAAGGAGGAGGATTCTGCCACCTATTTCTGTGCCAGGGGCTACACTGGTGGTTGGGCTGGTTACAGTAATGGTATCGACGCCCTTGGCGGGGTCCCCACCTGTCCCCAAACCCCAGACCCTCCCCCCAAACCTCCACCCTTCACACCCAGCTCTCGGTCGTTGGTCCCGACCTTGGGCTGGTTTTGCCCCAATTCTCAACTGTTGACCCAAACCTCAACCCTTGACCCAAAGCATTGGCCCAAACCCGGCATTGCATAAGGCTTTGGGGAAATGGTTGAGATTTGGGGCAGAGGGCAGAGAGTTGTGGTCAACAATCCAGATTTGGGGTCAATGGATGAGGTTTGGGTGAAGGGTTGAGATTTGGGATCAATGGTTGAGATTTGGGGTCACCGGTTGAGATTTGAGGGACAAAGTTGAGCTCAGGGGCCGTAAGGGTCAAGATTCTGGGCAAAGAGTTGGGGTTCGGGGCCAAAGGCTGAGATTTGGGGTAAATCCTGGGTTTGGAGGGGGAAAGAGCAGAGTTGGGGCAGCGGTGGCAGAGTTTGGGGGAAACAGGGGAGATTCGAGCAACGGGTGGGAGTGGAGTG